ACGGTTATTACAATTTATCATTTTTAATATTATTAACGTTTTAACGTTTTATAATTTATTATGTTAAATAATACACAGTTTTAGTATTTCAATTTATTATTCAATATGCAGTTGCGTATAACCAAAGTTTACATAATAAATGTAAACTTTAGTGTAAATATAAACTTTGGTGTAACCTAGATAGGTACTTATTGTTTTTGAGAAAGTAATATGTTTTTTACCTATTTAAAATGTCAGCACCAATAAAACAGCGTTCATCAGTCCAGCGCACTTTGTTTTAAAAATAAAAATAAAGATAGCGTCTGCTGCACTTCGATTTAGCTGCAACTGCAAAATTCAAGACGATTGGGGAAATCAGCTGGTTCTAAAGCTTGAACTTTTTGTAAATGGTACGGGTTGAGTGAATTATCGCGCAATATCCGCCAAACTTTGGTTTTTGATATCTCCAGTCGTCTTGAATTGTTCTTGTGGAAATAGTAGGCTGCTCCTCGACTAAATTTAAAACAGCCTCTATCACATTTAAGTCATTTTATCGATATCCTGCACGTTCGCTGCGCTGTATGGTATGATAGATGCAGTTGGAAAAATGCGGGAGATATGGACGGTGGTAGATCTGAATAAACGCTTTAAATTTTTAATGGTTTTGTAACCGTGTGTAGTGTATTTTGTATATTCGGGGACTTTTTTTATTTGATAAAATACGGTGTGCCTACAAACAGGTAACTACCTCTGCTTTATTTATTTTCTTTTAACGAAAGTTGACTTCGAGAAGTTGTTAAAACATTCTGCACTAAGTTAATACGTTTAACAGTAAATGTGAATCACACATTATGATGTGAACTTAGCAACGCTGTTCGCTTCAGCCGACGATTGTTCGTGACATTACGTTACAAAATTTTCCGAGCATCCGGACATCTGCCAGGGCCACCCTCGTAGCGGGAGTTATGGGTTGATTTCCTTCATTTTTATAAGTCGAGTAAATTTTTTTTCCGATTTTCTGTCTTTATTAAGTCTTCCGAATACGTTATTAAAATTAATGACATTATGACTGAATCACCCTGTATATATATACACAGGGTATCTCACAGTGACGGCCTATTTGAATTATATCAGAGATTACTTCGATTTGAATTTTGAAAATTTGGGATACCGGATTTTCGGACATGCCCTTCTCAACTAAAATAATGGCGTCCACATAACACTTCCGGTTATACCGGAAGTCGCCATCAACTACCTTGTTTTAAATGGAACACCCTATATATTATTGTAATTTAGGATTCTACGTGTTATTTTAGGTGGACTTTTATGAAATTTCCCTATTCCTAAAATTAACCGTTTTCGAGATATTTAATTTTTTTCAAAAAAATGGAGACAAACAGTGACTAGCTTCAAACCATGTGTATTTTANGGAAAGATCTAAAAGAACTAAATATTCATAGTAATTGTAAGTCACATACTAATGATTTGCCACAACACTTAAGTGATGTAAACAAAATAAATGAGTACTTTTTAAACTGTTCTATTGGGAATATACTACCAGATGAAAATACATTAAATTTCTATAGAAATAATGTTAAAGATAATAATTTTAAATTTGCATTTCAAAAAACAAACGAAAATGATGTTCTAAATATAATTCAAAATATCTCTTCTAAAGCTAAAGGTTGTGACGGTATAGATATTAAATTATTACTCTACTGCTATTCCTATATTGTTCCATTTATAACTCATATAATAAACTTCTCTTTGGAAAATAGGGATTTTCCAACTGCATGGAAAGAATCATATATAATTCCTAAACCTAAAATATCCAACCCTACAGAGTATAAACGTCCAATTAGTATCCTTCCAGTAATGTCAAAAATCATAGAAAGAATCATGAATGTACAAATTAAAACATATTTAGCAAATAATAATATATTACCAGATACGCAATCCGGTTTTCGTAAAAACCACAGCTGCGTCACCGCCCTACTAAAAGTTACAGATGACATAATCAATATCAAACGCGTGATTTTGAATAAAGTCCCTTAATTGTGTTATTTTAGGTACCAGACTGAATATTTAGATTAAAAATTTTCATTTCAAAATATAAGTAAGTAAAATTTAAATATAATCGATTAATTCTACAAGAGAAAAAAGAAAAAAGAAAAATTATTATTATTATTATTATTTTGCTAATATTCCGTTGGATATGTTGCGTCGTGTTATGCAGAATTTCAACGTTCGGCTTCAAGAGTGTATGGAGAGAAGAGGAGGCCATTTAGCAGACATAATTTTTAAGAAATAAAAATGGCACACAATTACCTTGTTATTGCTATACTTTGTTTTAATTAAATACAGTTACTTTAGGAAATACGTCATTTTCAAAACTACCCGCTCCCATGGTCCACCTTGTATATAAAATATATATAAAAATTTGAAGTTTATTGTATGTCCCTTAGGCTTGAATATACTGCTGGATTAATGTAGTTAATCAAGTAGCCCTAGCTCGGTCTGAGTGCTTAATTACCTCTGTTATGTTATAATAATGTTTTAATTGTATGTCACTAGTTGATGATACAATTTTTAGCCTTTTTATATAAAAAAGACATAAATTTTGAAAATGTAGAATATTTAATATGCAGCGAAGTATTTTGTTACCACTGTTGGTCAAATTGAGAATAATTGGTTGCGGTATTTCTATCTAGACACATTAGGTTTTAATGTAAACGTTTTTAATCTGGATAACCCTTGACCACAAAATATAAATATTTTAACGTAACTACTCTATTGTTTTTGGCAACTTAAAATAAAACATCTAATTAATTTTTAATACTACGATTTGTACTTTTGCAAAAGAAACATTTGCAAGCGCACATTTTTTAAAATATTTTCTTTATTAATTTGACATAGAATCCTCCATTAAAATTTGACCCAGCATGTTTGCAATTGCAACTTGAAATATTAACATAAAATAGATTAATAATTATATCCGGGAGAACAGTCTTGAAAAATGGTTAACACAAAATGATATAAGAGAAAAAAAATTACTGAAACCAAATAAATATTCAAAAGGATATACAATTTTTAATGGTTAAGAAAATTTTTTTGTACTAACTAAAACTAAACCAAAACAAAAGCATAATTCTTATTTATATAGATAGGATATTTAAATAAATATTCTAATTTTAAATATCCTAGTACTATAAAATATGTATTGTAATAACCATAAAATTCACTGTGTGCATACATTTAAAAGTTACATACCTGTACTAGTCATTCCATGATCTCCAATAACAATAAGCATTGTTGTGTCATCAATTTGTTCAACAACAGTCCTAAAAAATGTTTTTAATTTTAATTTTATTAAAAATCAAGTGTTAGACTTTATAATCAATTTTTAATTAAACAGCCAATCCACTAAAATCCAGAATTTGTAAATGATTTGAATGAGATTTTATATATAGTGGTGTTCTAGATGTACTTGCTGAACCAACTACGATATAATTGACAATTTTTTTGGAAGCTATTTTTGGGAAAATTACTTTAAGGATTTCTTATTAAACATTTTCTGTTACACAGTTTTAATGTATGTCGCTTAAAACTCCTATACACCGTGTCTACCTAGTGCGCGTAAGTCCAATATCTAGGTTAATTATAACTTCTACGTGAAAAATTAACGGGACTTTGTGTTATGATCCCTATTAAAATATTGATAGTTTTCGAGATAATCGACTTTTCATTTTTTTTTCTTATGTTTCGTCACTTCTAGTAGTCGACATAATTATGATTGTATGACAGCTAGAAATTTTTTTTCAGGAACTGTAGAGTGAAGATGGCTCTTTCAAAAACCTATCAAAAGTTGACCTGCGATATACAGGGGGCAAAAAAAATCGTGCCATACCTGATGATTTAAAATTTGAAAAATATCGACTTTTTAAAATAGAACTCCGTGTGTTTTAATTTCATTAGATGCCTTTCTGTAGACCCTACAATTTTTTAATAGCTTTCCCTATACCTAAGTTGCGTAGTTTTTATGTAAAATACCGGATTTGCGCCGTTCCTTTGTCGAGAAAAACGCAGTGAGCGCCTGTCAGGCAATAAAATTTGTGTCAATCAGTTTATATGTCATTTCGTCTTCTATTGAATATTCACGTGAAAGTTCAGAGAAAGTACTAAACGTGCATACGAACTGATCAAAAGAAGAATTAGTGAAAATGGTGTATGCCTTAGGAGAAGCTCATGGAAATTGTTTGCTAGCAGCACGTAATTACAAAGCAAATAATCCAGATTTACAGAGATTTCCACGTGCTGACTGTTTTGAAAGAACAGCAAATGCGAAATATGAGAAAACTACCAGGAGACATGAAAGTAACAGTAATGATATTCAGTTTAATGTTGTGGCGTCTGTTGTTGAAAATCCAAATATTAGTGTCAGGAAAAGAAGTAATAACCTTGGAGTTTCTAAAAGCTTGACAAATAAGATATTGAAGAAGTATAAGTTTCATCCATATCATATTGAAAAACATCAAGCACTGTTACCTCAAGACCACTTAAACCGCCTGCAATTTTGCCACTGGGCACTGGATAAAATTCAAAATCCAAACTTTTTATGCATGTCTTGTTTACTGACGAATCCACATTTTCAAACACATGCTTACCCAATCGTTGCAACTTTCACCACTATGCTGACAATAATCCCAGATTATTGAGGGAAATAAATCATCAGCATCGTTTCAAAGTGAATGTGTGGGCTGGAATTTGTGGAGAACATATTGTTGGCCGTACTTTACGTTTAGTACTTTCTCTAAACTCGTACGTGAATATTCAATAGAAGACATGTAAACTGATTGTCACAAATTTTATTGCCTGACAGGCGCTCACTGCGTTTTTCTCGACAAAGGAACGGCGCAAATCCGGTATTTTACATAAAAACTACGCAACTTAGGTATAGAGAAAGCTATTAAAAAATTGTAGGGTCTACAAAATGAAATCATAAAACTCTATTTGAAAATGTCGAGATTTTTCAAATTTTAAATTATCAGGTTTGGCACGATTTTTTTTGCCCCCTGTATCAGGTCAACTTTTGATACGTTTTTTGAACTCACAACTACACTCTACAGTTCCTGAAAAAAAAAAATAATTTCTAGCTGTCATACAATCTTAATTATGTCAAATACTAGAAGTGACGAAATATAAGAAAAAAAAAATGAAAAGTCGATTATCTTGAAAACCATCAATATTTTAATAGGGATCATAACACAAAGTCCCGTTAATTTTTCACGTAGAATTCGATAATGCCATAAAAATATAGGTTTCCATTTAAAAAAATTAAGTTGGTACCTGCCCAGGAAAAACTGAACATCATGTATATGAAAATATATTTTCATTTTGTGCAGCTCGGGAAAGTAGGCAACTCTGTAGAAAAAAAAATTAAGTTATATCTTTTATTAACCTAGATATTGGACTTACGCGCACTAGGTGGACACGGTGTATATTAAATTTCTGCCACACTGAAATTATATTTTTTTTATATAAATAAGTAACGTATTTTGCCAAAGGGATCAGTTAAAGTTTTTTTTTTATAAATTTAGTTTTACCTAACTAGTAATATTTCATACTGAAAAAGTAGATCATTCTTCTCGGTTATACAATAAGCACTGACACACCTTCTCCCCCTTCTTCACTTAAAGAGGGTGGTGTTAAAAAAGTTGTTTTAATTTTGTTCTGAAAAAGTGACAGAAATGAAATTAAGTAGACATTTTCTGCTATCGATAAGGCACTCAGTAAACTATATTGGAAGCATGGGAGAGATGAACTTAATCTAAATTTGAAATAATGTATAGGGTGTCCCATTTAAAACATAATATGTTTGGTTCATCCTGGTAATACGTATATCTTTTATAATAACGGAGATATCGTACTTCGACGCACTAATGCCGCACCCTGTATAAAAGGTACTGAAAATGTCACAGCAGATGCCTTATCTAGAATTGTAATAACATCCGATAAACTAAAACGTACAAACGAATTAATGACAGTTATGACTAGGGCGCAAACCAACAAACAAAATGTGCTCATAGATACAGAGAAGAAAGAGGAAGTCGATAGTGTTCGGCCTGATCAACCGAATGTTGTCAAAATTCTCAAATGTCTAAAAGACTGTATAGAATAATGTTTCGAACATGAAATCAATCAAATTAAAAATTTCAAAAATATGTCCACAAGATCCGGTAGTTTTGTTTCATCCATTCACTTGCATTATGCATTTGAATCCAAATACTCGATCGGCATTAACGCAAGACGTATTGTTGAGAGATTTGGCTTTCATATGTGAATTCGTGAATTAGTTGTTATTAAAGAAGAGAATAATATGGAAATAATTAAAAAGCTAGCTAGTATAATAAATAAAAAAGGCAAAGTGAAAGGTAATGAGTATCCAAAAATATATATTGTGAAAGGCGGAAACAAAAAAGCTAATACTAAATGATTTTCATTTACTCCCCGCAAGTGGTCAAGCAGACGTTAATCGCATGTTAAAAAATATTACTTTTGGTCAGGCATGCAAAAAGATGTAAATAACTAAATGTGACAACTGCCAGAGATACAAATATTGCAAGAGTATACAAGAACCAATGGTAATCACATCTATTGCAACATCGTGGTTTCAAAATTTTTTTCTTGATGTTGTAGGTCCTTTAGATAAAGATGTTAATGACAATTCTTATATACTAACGCTTCAATGCGAATGAACAAAATTTGTAGAAGCTTATCCTTTAAAATCTAAAGATTCTGTAACAATAGCTAAAAGTTTAGTAGATAATTTTATATTACGTTACAGAATAGTGCAAGAAATTGATACAGATAAAAGAACGGAATTTATGTTAGAAACAAGACTGAAATCTGTCGACTATTAAATATTAACAAAATTAATTTAACATATTTCCATCATGGGAGCATTAGAAAATTTTCATAAAGTACTAGGAGCTTATTTAAGAATGCAAACACAGAACCACACCGCTTCTTGGAGTACTTGGTTACCGTACTGGTGTTTTACATATAATACAACTGTTTACATGGAAACAAAATAGAAATAGCTCATAATGACGCTAGATATAAGTTATTATTAAGTAAAGAAAAAAGAAAATGTAATTATGATAAGTTCACAAACTCTATTAAATATAAGAAAGGTGATTTAGTTCTAGTGAAAAGTGAAACGGGTAAAAAACTAACCCCTTTATTTGATGGTCCTTACGTGGTAGTAGAACTATCTCCGAATGTAAAAATAACAAAAAACTCTAAAGAAGTGGTAATTCATAAGAATAGAACTAAGCCATATTATAATAAGTAATATTAATGCTATACCTGAACGTTCAGAGTACAGACATAGCGTACAATTTTTTTTTATTATTGCAATTTTATTTTAAGAATTGTACTTTTTCTAGAGTCCTAGAAGGTTGTCTTACTAACTTTCTCCACATTCATTCAAGTAAAACATAACTTGAATGAAATAACTAGGAACACAAATATTAGGTACACACTGGATATTAGTAATTACCAACATTTTTTCAAATACCATTTTTTGTTACACTCTAACCAAAAAATATGAACATTATTTTCATTATACAGGGTCTTCCAAATTATATATTTTAAAAATTGTATTTACTGAAACGAACACCTTATGTTATCTATCGAAATAAAATTTTAGTAAATAGGGACACATACAAATCAGTTAAGCTATCAATTTTTTTCTTAAAAAAATACCTGATACAATTTTCGAATTCTTTACAGCTTTCTAAATACAGTAGTTTGTGAAATTAGTGTAGAAGTAAATGACAATGAAAATGTTTCGCCAACCGCTAACGCACTTCAAAGACAATTTGTTCACTCACAAAAAATAACTGCATTTTCGTATCTTGTTATAAAATACATTATATTTTCTAATTCAGTTGCTATGTATATTTGTATATAGGTATTTAACACAAAATTATTAATTTGTCCGGCCAAAAGCTTCCAAAAAAAGTCACCAATCAAATTTATGTGCCAATTTAATCATTATATATTTGTTATGATTTATTTATTGAGCAATGTAAATATGAAAATTATTTACTTTATGACAGTATTTATTTCTCCTAATTTTCTTTGCATTTCAGGATGATTTGGACCATAACGGTGACCACAATGATCCACTCCCAAAAAATGTCCTATTAGTAAATTCCAGTCTGTTTGATTAAGTTCTTGATATAAGTGATCTCGAACACCATTATCCACTGTATCTAAATCCCATACATTGAAGGACGGGTAAGGATAACTTCTCATAAAACGATTTGGATATAATCCGTTCCAGGTATCATCACCCATAAATACAATTTTATAATTATTTTTAATCATCTGTAAATAAGTTAATAAATAATACAGTTGGACCACATAATGTAATGCAAAGTCAAATTTATTGCTATATGAGTGGTGTAATGCGGGAATGGCAAGGATGCAATGAAATATCTGTATTGTCAAAATTGTGTATTTATTTGTGACATATTTTTATTTACTGTTTATTTTAATATTTTGCTATTTCCGAAAAAGTGCCCTATTTTGGTTAGGAGATAATTTCATAGACACCAATCTATAGGTCGACTTATTTTAAGTTTATGTAGGTAACTAATTTTTATTCTTTTCAATGTAGTCCAGTCATTATAGACATGAAACAGTCTGTTTCGGGAAAAAAATACTATTAGAAGTTTATCTGCAGAATATTGTTCGGAAACGTGTTATAAACAAAATATCAAAAAATCTACTCGAGGCTAGTTGGGAAACTTTGTTTAACCAATGGTCAAGTTATGGAAAAGTGGTTTTTTGACTCGCGTAAAAAAACTGTTATAAATAGAGAAAAAAGGTTTATACCTACAAAAAAGGTAGGTATTAAATAAATCTGTAAAATAAGACGTCCGATTAAATACCCATAATTTGTTTATGCGCAAGAGCTCAAAAATTGTCGAAAATGGCCGTTTTTTCAATTGCTAATAATTAATGAAATTTTTATCGCAGACACTTGTAATTCAGGGTTTTTGAGGCTTTTTACACCCTTAATAAGAGGTAAAAATTTCAACCCGAAAGCTTCAATGGTTTGGCGTTGGCGGAATTTGTTATCTAAGAAGATACTAATTTATTGTGCCCGGAAAGAGATGCCGACTTTTAGTTTTTATACGGTTTCAACTATCTTCGTAAACACTAGATATACCAAACAACTTTTTTGACAAAAACTTCAAATTCCCCAGATTCTTTATTGCTGGGCATGTCGAATGCAAAATAATGCTCATTTTATACCCTTAATGTTCTATATATTTTAATTTCATTTAACAGGCATATTTGTGATTATTATCATTATGTTGGAAGTATGGAAACATTGTGGTAAAGACAGTTTTAATGATTTTAAATAACAGTGCAACTGTATTCCAGACAATTAAAATGTACAGAAAAATTTCATTATTTTTCTTAAAAATATATAGATAAAATATGTTATGAATTATAATTAATGTAGTATTAAACACCCTCAACCTATTGGGAAACATAAAATAGGAGAAAAATAGAAATAAAAAAACAAAATAGTTTTATCAGATCCTCTGGTAAATATTTTCATAATTTATTAATTGTAGTTCATTACTCATTTCATATTTATTTCAAAATTGTACCAATACAAAGAGCACGTGTTCGTGTTTACCGGCCGGCAGACCAGTTTTTTTTGTTGCATATTAGTCCAAGCATTCTGTCACGGATTAATGTTAAATTAGCAGAAATTATTACCTGGACAAAAAAATATGACCGTATAGAAAATTAAATTTTAAATCCAGTTTCTTGTTCTTTAAACTCGATCCAAAATGGCGAACATGGTTAAAAAATATCGCAAAGTTGCAAAAAACGGTTTTTCTAAAATAAGTAAAAAAATATAGCACCGATCGAAAAATTTTAAATGAGAAAGTTGCAGGTTTTAAACAGATCTATCGAGTGATTTTGACGAATGTTGACGATTTTATTAATTTTAAGGATCAAAATATGACTGAAAAAGTTGCACTTTTTGGGATGTTTTTTTTCAAATAACTATTTCAATTTTTATTTTATGAAAATGACTTTTAAAGAAGGAAACTGCTGACATTTTTTCACGAATTTAAAAAAAAAAAATTTCTACGACCTTCTGGAGCCGATAATTTTTTTATTTAAAAAAAAAAATTGAAGACGCAATTAACATTTTTTACAGCGATGCGCGATGTTTTTTTTTCAAATAACTATTTCAATTTTTATTTTATGAAAATGCCTTTTAAAGAAGGAAACTGCTGACATTTTTTCACGAATTTAAAAAAAAAAAATTTCTACGACCTTCTGGAGCCGATAATTGTTTTATTTAAAAAAAAATTTGAAGACGCAATTAACATTTTTTACAGCGATGCGCTTGATGGAGGTTAATATTGAATATTTATATTTTCAAAAAAAATAGGACATGTTTACTTGATTTTTAGTACCTATTAGTAATTGAGAATTGAGTAATAAAGTGAAGTGTGCAAGCGCTGAGTGCGTCAGCTGGACCGGCCGGAGAAGTAGGGGGAAGCGGCGCGCGCTCGCTCTGAAAACTGATGACGTGCAGTCTAAATGTCTCGCGCTTTCAAAATCTTTGATATCTCGGCTTCTGGATCACGTACAAAAATTCTTTTGTACTTAATTGGGGTAGCTAAACGCGAATATTATAGTCATTTTCGAATTAGAAGCAAACTAGTTCCGTAAATGTTTACTTTTTATTTAACTTACATTTTTTTACTTTTATTATACTTCTTCACGAAAATATGGAAGACGAACAAGAAAATTAATCAAAAGACAATCCGACAAAGAAAAGAAGAATTTCATTCGATAAATAATTTTAGTTTTCATTGCAATAATTTTATAGATATTTTATACATAGTTGTATAATTATTAAATATTTTTGTAAATAAATTAAATTCTTTAAACTTATTTTACACCAAAATTAATTAATTATTGAAATGACGAAGTAATTGTTAAAAAGCCAGCAACAAGTACAACGTCAGTATGATTAATAAAGAAAAAAAATGAAGGTATTACACGAAAAATACTGTAATATTATTAATTAGTAAAATGGAGATATATGCAAAAAATATAAGTTAAATAGAAACTAAACATTTACGGGACTATTTTGCTTCTAAGGCGAAAATGACTGTAATATTCGTGTTTAGCTACCCCAGATTAAGTACAAAAGAATTTTTGTACGTGGTCCAGAAGCCGAGATATCAAAGATTTTGAAAGCGCGAGACATTTAGACTGCACGTCATCAGTTTTCAGAGCGAGCGCGCGGCGCTTCCCCCTACTTCTCCGGCCGGTCCAGCTGACGCACTCAGCGCTTGCACGCTTCAGTTTATTAGGTACTTAATTACTAATACTAAAAGTCAAGTAAACATATTCTATTTTTTTTTTTTTTGAAAATATAAGTATTCAATATTAACCTCCATCAAGCGCATCGCTGTAAAATGTTAATTGTGTCTTCAAAATTTTTTCTAAATAAAAAAATTATCTCGGCTTCAGGTCGTAGAAAATTTTTTTTTTATTAAATTCCTGAAAAATGTCAGCAGTTTCTTTAAAAGTCATTTTCATAAAATAAAAATTGAAATAGTTATTTGAAAAAAACATATGCAAAAAAAGTGCAACTTTTTTAAAGTCATATTTTGATCCTTAAAATTAATAAAATCGTCAACATTTTTCAACAGCATGATAATATAACTCTTTACGAAGAAAATAAACCAAACATCGTCACTGTAGGGCTATCCGCTGAGAAGATCTAGCCAATTTTCGAGAGCGCCTTTTTTTCAAAAAATCGATATATCTCGAAAAATAATTAATATTTTTAAATTTTTCAAAAATGTACTTTTTTGGCTTGCCGCGGGCTATGCTTGCAGTAAATAGCAAATATGGGCACGTAAATGTAAACGAGTTATAGAAGAAGAGAAAAGAGAAGATTTTTAACGGTTTTTTCGATATATCTCGAAAAGTAACAAAGCAATCGATACTTTCAAAAAATCAGTCGATAGATCTTTTTAAAACCTACAACTTTCTCATTTAAAATTTTTCAATCCGTGCTATATTTTTTTAGTTATTTTAGAAAAACCGTTTTTTTCAACTTTGCGATTTTTTTTAACCATGTTCGCCATATTGGATCGAGTTTAAAGAACAAGAAACTCAATTTAAAATTTAATTTTCTATACGGTCATATTTTTTTTGTCCAGGTAATAATTTCTGTAAGCATTTCTCTATAATGCTTGGACTAAAAGCTTGTAGCCTAAGAGCTGGCGTGATTTTTTCCCATCATTTGTACCAAAAGATAAGCACATTAATGTTGAAATAGGTTTAAAGTGAACAAATATCGCTACGTTTGGCCGGAGGCGGCTACTCAAACTTGTTTTTTTTTTCAAAAACTCCTTGATTTGTACCACCTGCAGACTATGAAATTTGGCTTTAGGAATACAATTTGACCACAAAAGTGAAATTACAGACAAAAAAGTCGGAGCGTTTCTTAATTACAGCCAATAAAAGGGCTCCGTCTCCGTCGTGAACATCGTAGCGGTCTGTGAGAGCAAGCGAGATGGGTTCAGGCTAGCAAACGCACAAGGGACGGAGAATGATATATTATTCCTACATTGCACGCATGTTTAGTGGCTCTGTAAATAGATTTGTAAGAAAATAAATATAAGCAAACATATATTTTATTGAAACTAACATTCAGTAATAAGAAAACTAAACATTATACACTTTGAAATAAAAAATATGAAAATTTTACTTATACCATAACGAGAGCCATACTTCCAGCGCAAGCGTGTGTATTTTTTTCCAAACATTGTTATTTTAGCAAACCTGCATGTCGGCCTAATAAAGCTTTTTATTTTCGTGGTTTTCAAAAAAACGTGACGGAAGATTAACGAGCATGCGTTGTATTGCTTAACATTTTAGTTTACATTTTTGATAAAATATTAAATCAAACGTAGAGCTTCCTTATGAGACACTCTGTATTGTCTCAAAATTAGTGTCCAATAATTTATCACTTGATTATATAGCCAAAAATAAGAATATGTTTTCAAATAAACATGGGTCGAGAGATGCTTCCTAAGGGATCTACGCTCCCTAAATGGGGGCCTCAAAAAATTCATTTTTTTTAATATTTTCGAAACGGGTTCAAGGAAAATTATAAATTTTGACGTAAATGACGCTCATTAAAAGATCATCATAAAATTTTAATCGTCGGCTAAAAGGACCCCGCACAAACCTTATGTGAAATTCCGTTCGGTCGATTTTAATGAAATTTTGGGAATAAGTTGTTTTTCTTATGAGGAACAAAT